CCTATTGGGAAGGGTCATTTCAGGACAAACCGATCCTTGATGATTATGATGAAGAGGGTAAGCTTCAAGAGAATGATAATGATTCGCAGTTCTTGCAGGATGGAATCATGCAGGACCAGACACGAGCGAGATTTTCCAACGAACAGGGCTTTTTTCGAATAAGCCAATTCATTTGGGACCCCGCAGATCCACTGTTTTTGCTATTCCAAGAGGATCCTTTTGGATCTGTATTTTCACATCAAGAATTTTCTCCAGATGAAGAGATGTCAAGGATACTTTTGACTTCCCAAACCCAAAAAATTGATTGGAAATATCTAAATAAACCCTGGTTTAGGAAGAATATGCAAGAACAGAATTTCAAATTGTTGATTGATCGCCAGAGATGGTTTAGAACCAATAGTTCAGTATCAAATGAATTTTTTCGTTCTAATACTCTATACGAGAGTTATCAATATTTATCAAATCTGTTCCTATCTAACGGAACCCTATTGGCTCAACTCACAAAGACATTGTTGAGAAAAAATGGCTTTTCCCAGACGAGATGGTTGTGACTATCTGTTCCAATAACGAACGATTGGTTTAACTGAATAATGAAATGAAATAAAATAGATACTTTCTTTCTCGTCGTCTCAAGTCGATATTAGGGGATCTTCTCAATTGAAAGATCCCCTAATATTGATAATCCATATTGCCGTTGACCGAGCCTACTTGTTTTGAAGCAAATAAAGAGATCCACAGGGTAATTTGTCCTATTCAGATATTCACGACCAATAAGTACAGAATTTTCTTTCTTTTCGGATAGGTCCTGTCCTGAAAGGAGAAAGAAGGTTGACATAGGCGGCTATTTTGGAATTCACCCGACCCGAGCGTACAGTACCCATTTTTTTGAATGTCGAGTGCCAAAGTCATTGAATGGGTAAGTCACCAATCTCCAAAATCAAATATATAATGTACTTTATCCGTTGGTTTAGGGTAGGGGGATTGCAGGTGGGACGATTTCAAAATGTACTCTCCATTCATTAGATAGATAAGATCACCAAAACTTCGTGATCTGCTGGCGAACTTATTCCAATTCAATTTCAATAAGAGATCTCAATATTATGCCTTGAAGAGGACTCGAACCTCCACGCTGTTTAGCACGAGATTTTGAGTCTCGCGTGTCTACCATTTCACCACCAAGGCATCCTTAAAGGGAATCATATTCTCTGAATATGATATCTATCTTATGTCATGGTTCAATATTATTATACTCCAATTCTAATCCAATTGCAACATAGAATACAACATCTCAAATAGAATACAACATCTCAAATAGAATACGGTACGATATAATACAGTATCTACTATATAATACAGCGAGAATAGAATTCTTTCTCGACTAAATAAATATAGCTTCTAGATGAACGAAAAGCTAGTCAAAGGGTCGATTCAAAATTGGTAGACGCTACGGACTTAATTGTATTGAGCTTTGGTATGGAAACATAGTAATGTTAAGTGAAAACATAACATAACATAATATAATACAGCATCTACTATATAATACAACATGTACTATATAATACAGCGAGAAGAGAATTCTTTCTCGACTAAATAAATATAGCTTCTAGATGAACGAAAAGCAAGTCAAACGGGGGATATGGCGAAATTGGTAGACGCTACGGACTTAATTGTATTGAGCCTTGGTATGGAAACATATTAAGTGAAAACTTTCAAATTCAGAGAAACCCTGGAATTTTAAATGGGCAATCCTGAGCCAAATCCTTCTTTCCGAAAACAAAAAACTAAAAGTTCAGAAAAAAAGGATAGGTGCAGAGACTCAATGGAAGCTATTCTAACAAATGGAGTTGACAACATTCAATTGATTAATGAAGATTTCTAACTTCTATTTGTAAATTGTAACTATTTTTTTTAGTTTTGATTCGATCACAATTGAAACGAAACATTAGAATCAAATCAATTCCAACTGGAAGAAAAAATGGTGAATATTCATTGATCAAATCAGTCACTCCACCAAAATCTGATGGATCTTTTGAATAACTGATTAATCAGACGAGAATAAAGATAGAGTCCCATTCTACATGTCAATACCGACATCAATGAAAGTTTTAGTAATCGGAAAATCCGTCGACTTTAAAAATCGTGAGGGTTCAAGTCCCTCTATCCCCAAAAGCCGATTGAATTTGCTCATTTTTATGGCCCTTTCCCTTTTTTTTATTGAGTTGACATAGACTCAAGTAATTTCCCTCAAATTAGGATGGTGCGTCAAGATTTTAATGGTCGGGATAGCTCAGCCGGTAGAGCAAAGGACTGAAAATCCTTGTGTCACCAGTTCAAATCTGGTTCCCGGCGACTCATTATGTATGAGTATCTATTCCCATATTTCTTTTCAAAAATCAAATATTGGGAGGAATAGATACATATTGATTAGTGGTCTTAATAATTATACATAATTTATCTAGGCGTACAGAGATATGCTCTTTCTAGATGAAAAAGGAATCGATGTATATTCTAGGAAGTATGAAAATGAATGATTCTAGTTTGTTTCGATTTTTTCTGCGATGCAATAACAAATGTTCATATTTCAACAATATTCAAATGGTTCAATTAGTTGGTTGAACGACCAAAAAGTTGAATCTAGCGGAGTTCATAGGTAAGAATAGTCAAAATTTATCTGAGATACATTATCAAAAAATATGGTCCATTTCTTTGTATTTTCTTTGATCGTACTTTTTTATTTTTCGTAGCCAGATATCTACTACTCGGAATAGAAATAGGAAATTGACTTCATTATAGGACTTATTAATCTTGTAAAATTTTTAAAATATCGGGTAGGAGTCCATGCCGCTACTCGGACTCGAACCGAGATGCTCTAGCACTGCTTCCTAAGAGCAGCGTGTCTACCAATTCCACCATAGCGGCTGACTCGAAATCATAATAACCAATTATTTAGTCAAAGTCAATAGTCAATCGTCGAGATTGAATAAAGTGAAGTCCAATATTTATTGAGTACATTTCTTTACTATTTACTAAACATTTATTCTCAATTGATAATAAAACTAAATTGATAATAAAAAGTAATTTAATTTTTTCTAATATATAATAGAAATGAATATAGAAATCAAAACTTCTTTTACTTAAATTGAAAATGATTGCATATATCATATATTTCTATATTCATTTCTTTTTTTTTTCCCATGCAGTGTTCGTTTTCAAATTTAACAACGACGGGGAATGGGTTTTTTGTAGTTTAGACTTTTTCAAATAAAAAAAAGCACTGTTGAAACTAGAACTATCTAGTTCTGACTTCAATCCAGTAATGAAAAAGAATTTTTTTTTGTAGTTGTTTATGAATCATTCAAAAAAATGAGATTATATATATATCTAGAATATATTCTATATTATAGAATATAGAATATATTCTAAATATATGTTTATATATGTTTCATATTCTACAATAGTATTAGTATAAAATGACTATTAAAGAATACTCTTTGAATCGAGCTAATTCAGATTATTCTCGTCCAACATTTGTATTTCTTACAATAACACAACTTTTTTTTTGATTACGTGGCAAAAAAGGGCGAGGTTTTGTATTTATTACAATACGATAACTTTTTGAGGTACCTGTCAAAATAGAGTCAGCTAATGAAAAGGCTTTCAATGCTGCCTTATATCCTTTTTTTTTCCAAAAATTCTTACGAATTTTTTTTTTTGATATAGAAGTGCGTTTTTTTGGAACTGGCATACAATTAGTATAGTTTTTTCGTTGCTATAGTTTGATGTGAAAGACATTTGTTCTGTAAATGAAAACGAATTATTCTGTAATTAGCCGTATGTCTTATCTATCTAAATTAACTCTTTCTCTTTTTTTCCATCGAAAGGTAAAGTAAAAACATTGAATATTATAAACCTTTTCCAAATTTTTCATAGATAATAGATATATATGGATCTCTTTTTATTGTAATGTAAAAGAATCAATTAGTTCAAAAAGGAACTAATGTTTCTGAATAAAAAAAAAGTATTATTTTATATTATATTATTTTTCTAATGTATATCAAAATAAACAAATGTTGTTAGTTTTGGTGTACTGATTTATCCTCATCCTCGCTCTATAGATAAGAGATAAAAAATTTTATTTTACAATTATTAATAGTCATTTTTCTTAATATATATATAAATTAAAAAATAACTAACCTAACATAGGAATTAATAGTAATATTAATTAATGAATATATTACTGAAATACTGAAAATAATAATTATTATTTATTTTTTTCACTAGGAATTTTGTTATTGGCCAGTTTTGACTTTGTACTTTCCAATATGGGGACCATTGTGCAAAGATTCAGAACAATTAAGAATATCCAATTCTATTTCTATATCCACTTTTTTATTAACCGAGCCCCTTTACAAAAGATATAAAACAAACGAATAAGAAACAAAATTCATCAAGAATCTAAATATTTTTTATTCTTTCTTTTTGTATGGAATATACACATCAATCTTCATGGATCATACCTTTCATCCCTCTTCCAGTTCCTATTTTAATAGGGGTAGGACTTCTACTTTTTCCCACGGCAACAAAAAATCTTCGCCGTATGTGGGCTTTTCCTAGTATTTTCTTGTTAACCATAGTTATGATTTTTTCGATCGATTTATCTATTCAGCAAATCGAGAATAGTTCTATCTATCAATATGTATGGTCTTGGACTATAAATAATGATCTTTCTTTAGAGTTTGGCTACTTGATCGATTCACTTACTTCTATTATGTCAATATTAATCACTACTGTTGGTATTCTGGTTCTAATTTATAGTGATAGTTACATGTCTCATGATCAAGGGTATTTGAGATTTTTTACTTATATGAGTTTTTTTAATACTTCAATGTTAGGATTAGTTACTAGTTCAAATTTGATACAAGTTTATATTTTTTGGGAATTGGTTGGAATGTGTTCTTATCTATTAATAGGTTTTTGGTTCACACGTCCTATTGCGGCAA